AATAATAATGATAATGTGACTTGTCACGTTTTGATAAGGAACAAATTGCACCAACACAAACTTAAACTTAGGGCTCATGCTTGGCAAAAGTGTTTTACATCAAATGATTACCTATTTATGGATTTATTTTTTCTGACTCTTATTTTGAGTTAAAAATGCATGAAGGTTTCCCAGTCGTGAGTAATTTTATGCAAGAACTCAACAACTGTTATTGTAAAGATATACCCAATTTTTTTAGTCAGAAAATAACTTAACATATTATTTATATTTAGAAAGAATAGGAATAATTTATACCCCTTCTTTTTAAAATATCTAAAGTACTTTATACATTCATTGTTAGTACAGATCAACATCAATTTAATTTTATTTGCAAAGTTTGCAAACTTTTTTTTTTCTTTTTTATCCTTTAATACAAAACTAATTACAAAACCTAAAATCTATAAAAAATAAATGTTTCATTTCAACTCCCTTCACATTCAACATTCACAAAATTTGCTACAATATGTCTCTACACCCTCATCTTGAAAATAAATATTGTCATAATCTCAGAGAGAGAGAGAGGAAAAAAAAAGGACTACCTATGATGCCAACAAAACGATGGGTCACTCGCTAACATTTACTTCTGGCACAACTCACTTTGCTCATATTTGGCCTCTTAATAGCAGTACAAATGAAATTTCCTGCATCAATCAGCTTATCAAGGTCTACCCCGGTTTCAATTTGCAAGCCATTGAGCATATAGACTACATCTTCTGTTGCAACGTTGCCTGATGCGCCACTTGCATATGGGCATCCTCCCAGCCCGGCAACAGAAGCATCAACAACGCTGATGCCCATCTGAGGGAAGACAACAGTGAAATCACAAGCTACTACAAGATAGTATGTAAATAAATAGCATTTGGTTTATAATACCTTACAATGTCTCTAAAAATATAACAGTATCATCAAAATGTAAATCAAGTTCAAATGACATTTTGATCTCATATTAAGTATAAAATTGCAAAGCATTAACTCATTCACAAACATAACAAGAAAAATAAAAATAATAAAAATATATGTGCAAATGCACATGCAAACTCACACCTGAACTCGCACAGCCCCACAGGCACATACACATAGGTATGCTCAAACAACACAAGAAGAAGAAAAAAAAATAATAATAATGGAAAAAATACTGTAATTAATGTGAATGATCTAAACATCCATCATATATAATAGGGGTTATGCTTAGAAAAAAAAGCATATTGAACCCAAGGAGTAATACTGCTCCTATGCAACAGACAGGCACTATATCAATAACATCATCTTCATCAGGAGCTAACGCCGACATGGGCGCATAGCCGCGTCCACCTTTTGCTTCTACCTTTTGGGACCCCTCATGGCAAGCCGCCAGGCAGGATCTTGTCCCATCTTGAGCTCTTCCCGACAGGTTTGATCAATCTGCCCAAGCCACGACCTCCTAGGTCGTCCCACAGGCCTCCTCCACCCAGGGCTGTCTCTTACAGAGACAACCTGATGAGCAGGATCAGCCTGTGGAAAGCGAGCCAGGTGGCCATATAGCCTGAGTTGGCAATCCCGGATTGTGCATGTAACAGGTCCTGTACCAATCTCACAGTGCAGCTGTTGGTTAGACACATGGTCCCGCCAACAGTACCCCATGATCCGGCGCAAGGACCTGTTACGAAAGGCATCAAGACGAGACTCCAGGGCACTGGATAAAGTCCAGGTTTCACTACCGTAGAGCAAAACTGGCATTACCAGGGCCCTGAAAACCTGTAGCTTGGTCCTTGTGCACAGGCAACAGCACCTCCAAATACTCTTGTCGAGAGAGTTCATGACCCCTGCTGCCAGGCCAATCCGTCTGCTGACTTCCTGGTTCCTGGTCTGACAGCCCAGAGTTATGGACTGCACTGCCAAGATATGTAAAGCTCTCTGTGACTTCAATGTCCTTGCAGCAAGCACATACCGTCCGAACAGGTTCTCCTAGCAAGTCCCCAAAGTCCTGGATCTTGGTCTTGGTCCAGGAGACCTCTAGACCCAAGGGCTTCACTTCACTACTAAATGCATAGAGAGCCACCACTAGTGTTTCCAAAGACTCATCAGCAAAGTCAAGGTCTGTAACCTTAATATTACCCAGTGTTGCTCCACAATGACTTTGAACAGTAGCTCTGCCTAGTATCCAGTCCATGCAAGTGTTGAAAAGAGTTGGTGCAAGAACACAGCCTTGCCTCACTCCTGAACTGACAGGAAAGAAGCTCGACAGGCCCCCACCACACTTTACAGCACTTTCAGTACCAGTATACAGGTTTGCTATTAGTTCAATAATCCTTGTTGGAATTCCTCTCAGTCTCAGGATCTCCCAGAGTGATTCACGATGCACTGTATTGAACGCCTTCTTGAGGTCGATGTAGGCTGCAAGCAGCCCACGTCCGAACTCACGACATCGCTCTACATTGACTCGAAGCGCAAGGATACAGTCTAGCGTGGACTTACCAGGAGT